AAACTTTGATATTTTCACTGGTATTAAAATATCAATATAAAAAATCACAGGCGACCATTAGTAACCATGAGATAAAAATAAATAATTATCCTAACAAAAAATCCGTTGCCTGACTATAAAAAAATTCAATACGATTCTTCTGATTTCGTCATTGATTATGATACTTGAGCACACTATCAAATCGAATTAAAAGGAGAGCTTGAGAACGGTAAAAATCAAAGGTTATATTAAAATGTACCCGAAAAGGAATTCTATGTTGAGGGGTAATTGAAAATCTCATTTTACTATCAAAGGTTTTGATGAGTTTAGCCACCCGTCGAAACATTCGCCAACCGTCGGAACTTTCCCGGTTTTTGCCAGACCTTAAGTAATATATCTATAGGATTGTTTTTCGGAATCAGTGCTTTCAGTAAGATTATTTTCTGATGTAAGATACAAATAATTTAAAAGCTGAAAGGTAGAAAAGTTTTATTTTATTCAAAAGACAAAAATGTCATTTTATAGTTTGAAATATGTTATGAATGTTATGATATTTAAATAACATACTCGTATAATTATTTTTATTCCATGTTTACTAATGTCCATGACGATACCTTACTATCGTTTAATAATATTTATTATACCTGCGATAAAGATCGATATATTTTTAAATTAAAAGTTACATTATTATTTCTTTTGAATAACATCGAAATTTAAATTCAACTTGTGACGTATTGATAGATCATAGCATATATGTAACACAGGCATTTATTTCTTTATATATGCACAAACAACTTGTTTTTACGGTATTCATCAGAACTTTTCTTAAACATATTCACAAATTCGTTTTTCAACTAGCTTGGAATATCTGTGGGGTATATTAATTAACGAGTCATTTTGTCGGTAAGATCTTTGTAGCTCGGCACGTTGCATAATTTGATTTCTATAAAAATGGACCACAGTTACGACTTTAAAGCTTTCCTTTTTTTGTCATATTAACATCATCCATCATATAATGTCTATAGATATAGTTAATCCAAAGGTATGTATGTCAAACATTAAATTTAATAAAAAGAAAGAATTGTAAATAGATAAATACAAAAATCACATATTACAAAACTTGACAACTACTAAGTTTAAAAACGGCATTTTTATCTGAATAAAATCTCTTAAGATGGAAATGGTAATTTACAATTAATTCACTGATCACTCAATATATTCGGTTTATAGTAAATTTTTCTAATTTCAAAAGGGTTGAATGTTTATCATTACTAATTTTGGGTCATTCATAATATGATTTCCTAATATAAATTGGATTAGAAAATATAAACCATATAAATAAAATAATATGACGAAAAAAAAGTATAAATGATAAAGAAAAAATTCAATTTTTCGGCAAAACTGTCTCGCACTTTCTTTGTTCTCATAAATTATTACACCTATAAAAATAATAATAATAAATTAAGGAGATGATTCTTTTAAAAAAATTTTCGCTCTTGTTTCCATTCATTTGTCAATTCTTACCATTTTTAATTATAAAGTCTCCGGCTCGAAGGTTGATGAGATTGCGACTGACATCGCGTATGTTAATATCAATGACATAAATCTATTTGTCGAAAATGAATTTATTACTTTGAATTTTTTAATTACATTTATTTTAGTCATCGATTCGCACCTGTAGTGTACTTGCCCTAAAGAACCGTTTGTATACTTTCTTTTTTAAAAAAAAAAAAAAAATACGAAAATTCTTTTTTTTTTTTTTTTTTTTTTTTTTAAAAAAACTGAACATAATTGTCTCATCATAGATATTATCCAGTGACGTGGAATTTGTCTCGATAATTCCATAATGGCATTTGGTAAAGATACGTTATTCCGATTAGTTGGTAATGGAAAGATTAAAGAAGATCGATCAAAAACATGGTATACACCACCAAATAAACCACCACCGGCTTATTATCGGATTCACACAGGGCAAGCTGATAAGAAGATTTATGACATCGAATATTGGTTATTTTATCCTTATAATGGTCCAACTAATTTTGGATTAACCCCTCACGAAGGAGATTGGGAACAAGCCACCGTAAGAGTTTATGTTGATGAAAATGCAAAGGATGATGAACCGAAATCCCAGGTGTTGGGAGTTTGGATGTCCGCTCATTCGGAAGGAAGTTGGTGGGCCCCATCTATTTATCAAATCTAATGGTTCAGATTAAATTTCGAAGAAGAAAATCCCATCGTTTATAGTGCGATTAATACTCATGCAAATTATGGTACTATTGGAACACAAAAAATATGTTTGAAAAAAAATTATTTCTCTTGAAGATTATACCCATAAGGACCTATTGCGGATAACCTAATAAAGCTACCGATAGGCAATTTGATGAGAAAACTAATGTGATAAATAATCAATTTTGGGTCAAATTTAGAGGGAAATAGGGAAGGTACGTTAATTATTTGGTAGGCATTGGATCAGGACCCATCACTCCAATTGAAGCTGGAAATATTAATGATCCTGCTCAATGGAAATCCCAAAAGTTCCCATTTGATCCCATTCCAAAATAAAAAATTTGCATGATGGAAATTTACCGTAATTTTTTCAACGGGTGACGATAACCAAAAACGGAATGATGATCTTGCCAATCATGTTACCATGTCTTCTCATCGCATTTGTATAGATTATAATGAGAATCATAAACTTTTTTTTTTTGACAATTATAATAAAAATATGATGCTAACGAAACTCGGTAGCTAATTGAACCTAAGCTTTGAACCGTGTCACAACATACCGCAGTAAATGTGAATTGAATCTGGTACAAAATATATATAAAGGAAAATTTATATATGCTTGATTTATTGTGGCTGTAAATTCCAGTATTAATTTGAAATTTACCTTGGGTCCTTCCAAATAAATACCTAGAATTCAATCATCAATTGATTAGATGGATTACAATCGAGTCATAAGACATTTAACTACCATTGTACAATATGTCAAAGTGTTACACTGATCTTGCCTTTTTTGTCATTTATATAAATTTTTTTTTTTTAATCGATCAAATGGAACCGGTTTAAAGATTACGTTTTTAGTTCTTTTTTATTAATAAATAAAATAGCGAAGCCCACACAACAAAAAAGAAATTAATTGAACCATTTTTTAATCGAATCACTATTATTTTAATGTGTTGTAAAGAAGTTTGGCGTAAAAGGGTCAAAGGAGATCGGCAGGATTTTGACCTTTTTTCAGGATCGGAATTTCAATAATGTCAGGTGGTTTCTAAAAAGGTAAAGCTTCGGAAGTCTCTATAAAAAGAAAAGACTGATATAAATATTTGCCTCGTTGTGCGCAAACTCATGACCTGTTAAAAAGATTGAAAATATATAAAATTTATTATTATTAATTGGTGTTTGTTCGCTAATAATATATTTTACAATATCATTTGTAAACTCCCCATAGAATAAATCCTTTATCAAGGATATTATAGTCAAAAACGAACTTCGATATAATTAAAAATTCGGTTTCTCGTTTTTACTTGGTATAAATCAAATGATTGTGTAATATAATTTTAAGACCAAACTGTTTTTAAATTAAAATTAAAATTGGGTGTATCAATAAAAGATTGTTTTAAAAACGGTCAACCTAATTAAGGATAGGATGGTGTCAAACTCGGGAGTTAGATCCCCATTTGATAAAGTGAATTCCTTTTTGGATTATAATCTCAAAATTGCTTCATTGAATTCCAATTTATTACACCAACAGCTTTCCTTTTGTAAATGAAGTTTTAAATTTAAGATCAGCCGATTCATTGGATCTTTGGAATTTCAATTTATAATATGTCGCCACATCAACTTTATTGGCATAGAATAACAAATGTTTAGATTAAATACTATTTATACCTCATTTATATTCCTCGTGCATTAAAATAAATAAAAAGGTCACCCGCATTCTGTTAATTGGTAGGATCAATTGTAAAAATAAAAGTGAATTGCGTAAACGTTTTTGTCGGAAAATTTTTGAT